CAAGAGCACTTAACACACTTTATGATGTACAATGTGGTACAACTATATTCCCATTAAGTGTGACCTTCTCAGTAACTTACACATCAAATGCAGAAATAATCTGGCATATAATTATAAATGTCTGAATGTATGAAAGATACCTTAAAACAGGGGTTGGGAAGCTTCCTGTAAAGGACCAGATAAGTAAACTTCAGATTTTGTGGGCCTTATGGTCTCTGTTGCAACTACTCTGCTGTTGTAGCATGAAAAGGTGTCATAGATAATATGTAAACAAATGAGCTAATATGTGTTCAAATAAAACTTTATTTACAAAAACAACCAGTAGGCTGGATTTGGCTCATGGGTCGTAGTTTGTCAATCCCTGCCTTAAAGTATTTTAAGCAGGAAATCAACACTTTTCATTCCATAATTTAAATAAATTCTGCACCCATTAAAATATGAACTCACATTTTCATGCTATACTATGCATAACAGATCAATCTCGAATCTGATTTTGGGTGGGGTAAGAACCCAAGTCATCTGGCATATGAATAAGGAAAATAATCTAATGGTAACAGAATTAGAAGAAAGGGTAATTCCTTACCCTTGCCAGTGACTGGCTAGGTAGGGAATGTGCCCCAATCTTGGCCAATAAGACTAAGATATCTGCAGGGGGGCTTCTGGAAAAGAACAGTCCTTCTCATTCCTTTGGATATTATTGAGTCTGGATGGGATGCTAGTCCTGCTGCAGCCAAACTGAGACCACAGGGAAAGCAGTCTTACTATGAAGCTAATGGGAAGACCACAGGGCAGAGAATTAGAAAGAGAATGAGTCCTTGATGTCATCATTGAGTTCTTCTTGAGCCTCCGAACTCTGTTATGTAAGATAATAAATTTCCTCATTATTGAAGCCAGTTTGAGAATTTTCTGTTATTGCAGCCAAAGCATCTTAAATGATGTAAGGGGTTGAAACTGAAGATTGCTCACTTCACAATTTCACCTGCAGCCAGTATTATTAATTTAAACTTTTCACAAGTAAAAAAAACATTTAACGTCCTGAAAGCCCACAGAGACTACCTACAACTCAAAAAAAAAAAAATCTATCAATTACTGATACTGAAACTCATAACTTTATAAATTTTATAATTGTGGAGGAAAACAACAACAACAATGCAGTACCTCCTTCTTTGATACTGTATCTAAAACATTCTTTCACAGGATATTTTTTTTCTCTAAATCAAGGGTTGGTAAACTTTTCCTGTAAAGGGCCAGATAGCATATACCCTAAGTTTTGCAAAAAATACAGGCTCTGCCATTATTGCTCTTTTAACACACTGTGGACCGGTGCCACAGATTTGCATCTATACATTTAAATGTCCCATCCTCAATGTGTTAAAAGCAAGCCAATATGTAAACAAATGGGCATTTCTGCATGCCAATAAAACTTTATTTACAAAAACTGGCAAGCAGGCGGGATTTGGCCTTGCAGATCAGTTTTTGGACCTCTTCTCTAAATGATTAACAGTAAAGAGAGTCTCCTTCTCAAACAAATCAACTTTACTAGAATTTAGTAAATAGTTTATTTTAAATGTACATAAATTATGTAGAAAAGTAACAAGCATTTCTTGAGCATTCTATTGATAGGGGTTAAATCACTTGATTAAAAAGTGATTTTTAGTTGTTGCCTTATTTATATATAACTAACCTTTATAAGATGTAATTTAGAATTCTACTATTAAAATGTACAGGATATTACAATAGAAAATACAAAACTTATTCATATGCAAATTTATATCTACCGATTAAATAAAACTTTTTAATTAGTGAATTTGCAAGGACTGACTATTCAAAGAAAAAAGAAACCCGTATATCTATATCTAACCTGAATGAACCCCTCTCTTTCAGTAAGCTAAAACTAGAGCTCAAAATGGAATGAATAAAGAAGTAAATAATATGGACCACATTTCCTTTCCAAACATTAGAGTTCCCCATTACAAAGATACGCATACTATATGGACATTTCACTACCCCAAATCATAAACCCTTTATCAAAGGACACCATTTTTCACTGTCATTTATATACCATGTTCTAGGAAGAAAACAAAGTGGAACCTCGCCTTCAATCATTAGCGAAGAAAATATGCACATGTACATAAACACACTTTAGAATTATTATAGGAAATTCCATTGTGTTATTTCATTCAAATGATGAAAAATCTGAGAAACATTAAGTAATGTAATTAACACAATAACCACCCTTTCAATGTCTGCTACAAAATAACCTTAACGCTTTAAAATCACAAATAAGAAATAAAAAGGTATATGCTCATCCTTCCATAAGTATTGGCATTTTCTATATACAAGGAATTGCTAATCGTAATTACCTATGAAAAACAGGACTGGGGAAAAGAAGTTGAGGGGTTCCAGGCAGTGAGGAGGACTTTTACCTTTCTCTTTACATCTTCCTGGATTTTTAAACTTTCTCCTAAAATGTATTATTTTTTAGTCTTTAAATATGGTTTAAAATATATGTTCAATATAAATTAATATTGAAAAATATACCAATAACTAAAATGAATAGGAAAGGCAGAATTTCTCTGAAGGAGGCTAGATTTGAGGAACTTTCCGGGGTCAAACCAGCCACTTGTACCACTGTAAGCGGTGAGCCTATACTGGCTGTAGAAGCCAGGGACGTTCCCCAACAACCTTTAGCCCTCAGTAACACCCTGAAGTTTAAAATAACCTTGTAAGGATGGAGTCTACAGCAACTCAATCCAGTTCCACTGATCCAGTACCCCAAGTATCAGGGTAGGTAAGAAGTGCCCACTAGCTCCTGGTCTGCAGGAGGTCCAAAACATCCAACAAAGGGTGACTTCCTTGACTTTCCAGAATCATAGCAGTAGCATAAAATTCTATTAGCTATACCCAATCAGGTATGCTCCACCAGCATAGCTCAGGCTTTAAAATCTTAATACATTTTTTTAGGCTTTGGTCTTTGGGAAATATTGGTTTAAAATTACCATTTTAATGGCATAAGTTAAAATGCAGTAAGTTAAAATGGATGAAAAAACTAGACTCTCACCATTAACCAACATTTCAGGTTAGACTATGCATAGATTCAAAGATTGAGACTAAAATTAAGATAAAACATATAGACATTCAACAGCCTGCAAAAGATAAAAATGAATAATAAAATCCAATTCTGCTCTGGGAATGATGAAGCAATAAACAATCCTTGATCCCCCTCCCTGAGACTACTAAGAGTTACCAAGAGAGAAAGAACAGCAGTCTGTCATTTCTTACAAGGAAAATGATGAATTTAATTTCCTATTAAGTAATAACAAGGTCCAAAACAAAGGACAGATGCAACATACTTTCCTCACACCTAAATTAATCACATTTATTCTACAAATATTTCTGAGCCCATCCTAGCTTTCATGTGTGGGAATAAAGTAGACAAAACAATGTATAGTCCACAAGGGCAAGAATTTAATAATTTCTAAATGTCATAATCAATTGTCTAAGTTAAATAAAATTGTAAAGAATTCCAACGTATATCTATTTATTACTTACTAGTAATATATTAACTGTTCACTAAATTCCATCCTCTGTGATTAAACCAAGAAACAAAGTCAGTGCAATCCTTTTTACAGCATACTATTAACTTCAAAAGGAGTGTTCTACATTGTCATATTTGAAGTAAATTATTAGTCTCTCTGGAACATAAAGCACACTGATGAAAGCAACGGGGTTCTGAAAAAATTTTTGTAAATACAAGTCTTAATAATATTACTCTCTCTTCTCAAATCTACTAATGCTGTTTTGGCAAATGGATTAAGCCATTATTTATCCAGCAAAATGAACAGGGCAATTGTTCATTCAGAACTCCGTCAGAAATATAAAAGAGTATTTAGTGTTAAAAAAAAAAGTATGCTCTGTAAACAATAGCTTGTAATGTCTAGTCCAAGTACTCGTTTATCAAATAAATCCTTATTATCTTAGGCGTTTACCCTTACATTCATACCAGTCTTAGTACCAGAAGACGTATTAAAACGTCTTCCACAAAATATCAACTGTATCTTAAATACATCTTTGGCTTTACATTTGTTAACTTTATATTTCCAAGCTCCTGAAGATAAAAAGATTACCAAATATTGGGAATGGTTAAAGAACCATAACCTATCTGTATAGGTGATGTGCTCCTTTTAAACTAAGTTAATGTGGTGCCTTCCCGCCCACCCCCCAACCTCCCTTCAGTTAGCCCGGAAATTAAGTTTAGGGCCCTTTAAAGGAAAGGGGGACTGGAATGTACCCAACTTTTCTAGTGGGGTCTAAGATACTAAATCGGACTGCCTTAAGGGCCCGAGAAAGTTACAAGGCTCCGAGGCCGCCTGCGGCAGCGGCTGCAGCAGAAAGCAGCAGCAGGTAGAGCGGGGTGGCTCCGCGCCCCAAACCCCGTAATGCAACATCCCCTTTGCCACTAGGGCGGAACGCTCGCTCTCTAGTAATTCAACACCCTTACTTTCAAACTGGAGGCCGGGGAAGTTCTAATAAATTTCTTCTCTTACAATGCAAATTATAATTCTATCTACGCTTAATGTCTGTATTTTCAAACTACCCTGAAGCTACGCGCCAGGCCGAGCTCGGGGCCGCGCCCAGGCGGCGGGAACCCGACAGTCACCCGGGGCGGGGAGTTGGGGTGTGGGGGGGGTCCCGGGCCGACACCGAAGGCGGACCCCGCGCCCGCCAGGAGGAGAATCGCTCGGCGGCATGTTCGGGCCTCAACCGGGTCACCACTTGGGGTGGGCCTCGCGGCTCCCGCCGGCCCGGGGGAGCGGCCGGGCTGGGAGAACCGTTAGGGTGGTGGCGCCGCGGCCTGCGGGGCGCGAACAGAGGCGCGTGGAGGCCCCAGCAGCGCGGCCGCCGGGCAGCGCGGGGCCCCGCAACTTCTCGCGGCCACCTCAGCGTCTCCGGCAGAGCCGGGGTAGACAGTGGGGGAAGGGAGGGCGCCGGCGGCTTACCCCAACGGCGAGCGGGTCCTCCCGCCCCGAGTGTGGCTGGGGCGCTGTGCGGCGGCGCCGGGCGTCGCGACTGCGGCTGCGAGCGAGAGGCGATGGTGGGAGCGCGGGGCCGCTAGAGGAGAGGCGCCGCCGCCGCCACCGCAGACAGCTCCGCAATATGGCCGCCCGGCGGCTCCTCGGGGGAAAGGCGGGGCTGCCCCGCGCCCCCCGCCTCCCCCTGCCGGCCGGCCGGCCTCGCGCCGCGGCCGGAGAGCCAACGCCGCCGCCGCGACAGCCGCTCGCGCCGCGCCCCGCCCCTCGGGCTCCCAGCCGCCTGCCGCGTGGTGCGTCGCCGGGGGTCGCGGTGCGGGACGCTGCAGCGCGAGAAACGGGCTGCGGTCGCCGGAGCCCCGAGGGAAATGGGGCGAGCGCGGAGGAAGGGGGACTGCCTCCAGGGAGAGCTGGGCTTGAGTGAAGCGGCCCCGGGGAAGCGGAGCCGCCCAGCCCAAAGTCCGGAGCGCGCCCGCCGCCTCCCCCGCGAGTGGAAACTTGAAACTCCCGCTGGTGCCAGAAAACACATCGCCCCCAAGGAGGAATTCTTCCCAGAGGGAATCCAGAACCAAAGCGACCGTGGTACTTGGCTGTTCAGCTTGAAAATTTTGCATCAGGAGAGAGAGAGCGAAGGGGGCTTATCTTAAAGGAATTTATATTTGCAACGAAGAACGTTTAAATTATTTTGGCAGGTTTTGCCCAACTAGAAAAATGTGCTTTTTCAGGGGCAATTTTTTTTTTTTTTTTAGACTTCACCAAAATCTCGATGGATATGGCCCCAATCGAGGGTGCAGATTTTTATTCAGGCAAGGATATTTGATAATTTTTTATTACCACCCACATTCTTTGCCAGTTAGAAGGAGTCGTTTAAAAAGAAAAAGTTGGAAGTGGGGCCCCAAAGAGCAACCAAACCTAAATATCCTAAATTTAGAGAAAGTTAGACATTTGGTCATAGTCTAACACTAGCCTACTCACTTTAGTTAGTAGCTGGGACTAGATAGACTTCTGGCCAGTATTGTGTCATCTATGTCATGCTCCCTCTCCTCGTTATTTTCTGCTGGGATTTAACGAGCAAAACTTGGTATGAGTATACCAAGTGCACAAGATCACATTAGCCTGGTTTGCCCTGTTTGCAATGCTTAATATAGTTTACCTTTTATAAACAAACTTTAGTTCAAATAAAACCTCAGGAGTGTACTTAACGTTTAAGGAACAATAATTCATATCTTTCCTTCCTTGGCATTTGCCCTCCCTGAGACAGTAGCTTTTCCAGGAACTCTCCCCAGATCACTTTCACTAAACTTACTCTTCAGTGAGTTTCCACCATTGCCTTTTGAGACCTCTGAGCAATGAAAAGCCCCACAAGTTAAACTCAAAGGCCTTTAGATTGCAAATTCCTCAAGGATGGAAACCAGGTGTGTGTTTTTTGTGTGTGTGTGTGTGTGTGGTTTTTTTTTAACTAAAAGGTACTCTCTGACCTCCCTGGGGTGAAAGAATTATCCAGGTAATTGTTCAGCCTTCCACATTAAGTTGTATAAAGATAGTCAAAGTATAATGTAAATTCCTAGCTAGTACACTAATTAAAAGTATATAACATACTTTTGCAAGGGAAAAATGAAGGTTTCACTGTTGTTTGTCATGTGCCAGGCACTATTGTGAAATGCTTTTCTATGAGTATCTCTTTTAATAATTACAACAACCCTGTGCTTAGGGTAAATATTATTGACCTTTAAAAAAAATGAATGAAGAAAACCTCAAAGGACTTAAGTAATTTGCTCACTGTAAGTGGCAGCGCTATGACCAAACCCAGTTATATTTGACTCCAAAGCCTTGATTATTCCATACTGTGCAACAGCAAATAGAACAGAGATTGTAACTTTTTAGTTGGCTATCATGTTAGTAAATATTTAAGTAAAAAATAATATTCAAGGATGATGAGATAAAAAGGGTACTTGCAGACATTTTGAGTGGGAGTGTAAACAGAAACAACCTGTTTAAAAAGCAATTTGACACTGTGATTCAACCTATAAAAATGTTCATACTCTTAGAACCCGTCATCCCATATCTGGAATTCTTTCTGAATGAAATAATCTGAAACAGCAAAAGCTTTCTTCATAAACTCTGCATCACAATATTATAAGATGCAAAAACAAAAATATGGAAACTAAATGTCTTTAAAGTATATCTACTGTGTAGCATTTTAGGTAACAATTGTAAATGTATATAACATTATGGCCAGTGTTTTCTTATAGTGTTAATAGGAAAAACAAATTATGAAACTATCCATGCAGTATGATTACATTTATGTTTTAAAAAATCAGCTATGAGGTGTTAGGAAAAAGAAAAGATTGAAACCCAGATTTGTCTCTGGATAGTGCTTCTATGGACATTTTTTCCTTTATTCTTTTCTTCAGTACTTTCTATATTACTTTTGCAGTGTAAAAAAAAATAAAACTATTTAAGTTGAGTTTTACTACAATATGGGTTGTCAATTACACAAAACCAGCAAAGCCGCTGTTTCCTAAGTGTGAGGCTCTTCTGTGAAGAAATTCATGAACTGAGCTGACAGGATTTTTTAGTTAGGGGTCAGGTTTACTATTGATTGTAAATGTAATCTGAATACACCATTGTTTTATCGTGTTCCTCACATCAAATATATGCACCTTTAAATGAAGTATTAGAGACTTAACTGAAAATTTTTTCTCGGTTTAATTCCAACATTTTAGATTTCAACTGGGAAAAAAAATCACATATATTTGCTGAAACTACTTTTGTTTTCAGAAAAAATAAATCTGATTATATTATCAATACTTACAAAAAGATTTATATATAGCACATAATATACATAAAAAAGGAAGTTCAAAACCAATCTATTACAGCCTATTACTAAGTCTTCTATGCTACAATCTTACTCTATTTCACCACAATACATTGGCTAATTCTGAATTCTAGAATTACAGTGATTGTTACAAAGCATTTCATATGTCTCACTAGCACATATGAAAGTTTTTCTTGAAAATGAAGAAAATTCATTTTTGCAATTATGGTTTATAAATGGAAGTTTTCCCATCTAGAAAAAATCTTGAGTTCCAACCCTTTGCTAGTTTGAATGAGACTTGGCCCCTGCACTCTAGATTCAGTAATGAAGAAAGCAAACAAACAATGCTGTGCAATATGAGCTGTAATAAAGATAGACACAGTGTCAATGCAGACAGAAAAGAAGGCAATTAACTCTGCGGAGAAAAGAGGAGGCCACAGAGGAGGGGAGAGGAAAGGGATGAGAGGCGGGGTGAAGGGGCAGGGGAAAGGAAATCAGCTTTGAAGACCGAGGAGCAACATTGGGTTGATGTTTAGACAAATGTTTAAAACCAGAGTTTTCAGAAAGGTAAATTGAGATCCATTTGGGAAATTCAGAATTTGCCCTCCCTCCTTGAGGAAATAGGAATCCATAAGAGGTGTTAAGAGGAATAATATTATTTGATTTGTTAGTAAGTAACTCTTGGGACAGAGGTTCAGTGACAGTGGAAGTGGATGGTGAGATCATCAGGGATGCCTTGGATAGACTTTTGCTATAAAGCCCCAGGCACTCGAGGGTGAGGGACTGAATTGGGGAGATTATGCTTACAAAGAAGAGGAAATAGAATCTTTAAAAAGCTTTGAGGAGTAAGACAAAAGATGTGAAAATGATTTTAGGGTTTCCAATGACTAAGTACCATTGAGATAAATGAGGAGTATGAAAGAAGTAGAACTGAGAGATCAAGATAATTCAGCAGGCTAGGAAGATACTTTTAAATGTCTACGGGCAATCTAGGAAGAAATGTATATTCATCAACCAGAAATATACATACTATAAGAACTATGGCAAGTGAGACATCCAATAAATAGTTGTTAAATGAATATACAGAGATAACATGATAAAATAGGCCTATCATTTCTAACTATCTCTTTGGAAAATATAGTTTTGTTCAAGCCAAGGATTTTACTACTGTGTTAGATATTAATCTGAAGCCTCATAATGTATTAAAATATTTTTCCTTCAAACATTTTGATTTTCTATTTTTAAAAGCTTTAAGAATGAAAAATCACAACAATTTTTAAAACTTACATCGAAAGAAATGCAAGAGAATTTTCTATTATAAGCAGTGATATATCATACTATTCACACTATCTTGCATATTTAAGTACATATTCACAATTTGTTCTCCAATATAATAGCCCTCAGTAAAAATAGACAAAGCAAATAAAACTATCTTATCATTTGCTTTGTGTGCCTAGTAAGTCATACAAATGTAATTGCTGATATAAGCTATAAGATTTCAGTACAGTCAATAGAGGTTTGATGGCTAATGTACCTAAACTAAGAGTCAAGGAACCACAGATCTATTTCTACCTTTATTCTCTCCCTATATAAGATCAAATTACATAAGTACATAATGCATAATGTGTTCACAGATATGAGCATTTTAATCTCCAACAAAGACAAGGTAAAAGTTATTACTCAATCTCCCTTGCTTATATAATAAAACCAATTTAGTTGTGATAAACAGCAATAAAATTTCAGAGGTAAATAATTTCAGAGGTAATAAAATTTCGGAGGTAAAATTTCAGAGGTAATAAACAGAGTGGAAAAGTCTAAATGAGGGAATCTATAACTGGCTTTATTCCCAATTTCTACAAACAAGTTGCTTAAGTGACCTTGAAAGATCCAATGAACTAGTCTGTAACTTACTTGCAAACAATGTTAAAAGAGGCAGAATGTTACACCTATTCTGCCTTTCCCAGAGATTGTTTTCAGGCATCATAGATTTTCAGGACTAGAAGAGGACCTCAAAGAGCATTAAATCCCCTCTCCAAGAGTATTGTGAAATGGCCATCCCAGCAACAGTGGCTTTCTGCTGCTGCCTGAGAGCTCTAGAAAAATCTTTTTTTTTTTTAATGGACTCTCAGTTTTCTCATCTATTTAGGGAGGTGGAGTAGACAGACCATCTGTAATCTTTCTTCAAGCTCTAAAATTCTTCAACTCTGACTCCAATTCACATATAAAATATCTGATTCATATACATAACAATGTGCAACTTTTAGAATTCATTATGTATTTTATAACATGCAGAAAGCATTTATGTATAATCACTTACCATGATATTACACAATTTTTTTTTTTTTAAGATTTTTTTTTTTATTGGGTAATTGGGGGGATGGGAACAGTGCTGGGGAATTAGAGG